ATCAGGGTGTTAGAAAGTCTAAATCTAAATCCATTGAAAAATCGGTGGTAAAACTTTAGCATTGATGTTCACACAAATTTTCCAAATAATATAGGCAAAATTTCAGTCTCTAGATGTCTAGAGTTTATAGAGGGATAACTTCAAACAGTTGTGGCTATGATTTCATAGAAGTGATGTACTATTAAGTATTGACTTAGGGTGGAATTACATATGCTTCTCTGATTTTTAAACATCAAAATTAATATTTTTCTTTCACTTTACTGTAAATAGCATACAAGGTCAACAAAATACATTCCCTTCTGCGGTTAGAGTGTGACCATAAGTGAATAATTACCATTACATGCTATAAAAATGTGATCAACTGGTTGAGTTTTCAGCTGGTTTAAGTCTTAGAGGTAATATATCAGATATGTTAAAAAAAGACACCCTCAAATGTCAACTTAACAAACCAGAGTTAATACATTTTCTTCATATGTAGTGAGTTTTGATTCCCCTTTAAGATAAAATGGTGTCATGCTAAAATGAACTTGAATTGTGTGTTTAGGTGCGTGCGTCCACACTCTGACTGGCCACCAGTCGCTGACGAGTGGGATGGAGCTTCGGGACAACATCCTGGTGTCTGGGAACGCCGACTCCACCGTACGAGTGTGGGACGTCCGAACAGGACAGTGTCTCCACACATTGCAAGGTGAGGCTTTAAATCTGGGCTGAATGTAGAAAACCGTTGATAAAATGTCTGATTAAACACCTGTTAGTTCTGTTGTGATCAAAGCCAGATGTCAGCGGAATATGAAGCTGACGTATCACCATTGTTTGATGCACGTTTTGACTTTTTGTTCTGGTTTTAAGGTCCCAATAAGCACCAGTCTGCAGTGACGTGCCTGCAGTTCTGCAGAGGTTTAGTTCTGTCCAGCTCCGATGATGGGACCGTCAAGCTGTGGGACCTGCGAACCGGAGCCTGGCTGCGGGACGTGGTGGCGCTGCAGAGCAGGGGATCAGGTCAGGAATAAACATTTTACCGAAACAAGTCAGAATATATTAGCATTAAACAATGGATGTATAAATGGAGTCAAAATGACATGTGGAGATGCAGCAGTAGATATCGGCTGTGGCTCCGTCACTCTGTGGCATATCAGCAAATTTAAATTCATTAATGCAGGAGTTTAAACTAGCAGGGATGAATTAGACAATGATTCTGTGTTATTCTGATGTTAATCTGACAGTACAATACTTTGCAAATCACAGTTTTTGTTGTTTTTTGTATTTAATTAGGTTGTTGACATGGTTGGCAGATATTGGTCTTAATGAGCTCAGATTCCACTAAAAGCCGTCCTTTTCTCTGGCTCAGTTTAGAGTTTTGACTTAGAGTAATCCTGCTTTTTAGAGTTCATTGCTTTGGGTTGTCCAAAAAGAACTGATTCTCAAATGTAATAGAAAGTTGTGTGTTTGCACCTTCATGCTTTCTCTCCCAGACCCTTTCCTGAGAAGAGATCTGTCAGAAAAAGCACTTCAAATAACTCTTTCCAATATACAGCATATGGATTAAATGACAATGTGACATGACGGCATTATTTAACAGAGTTTATATTACTCAGAACAGAGAAATAGCTGAGGTTAGAATGGTTACCATCAGGCTAATGGTTAAAAGAGGCAGTTTAACACATCATGACATCATTACATCATAGACATGTTGTATGTGAGTGGAGAAACATCCCTGGCCAACACAAGCAAGGCTCAGAGACAACTAAGTTGTCGGAGCCAGTTGAGCGATTCATTACTTTCTCCAAAAATGCCCTTTATTAAAAATCAGTTATAAACTTGATTTTAAATTAATACAGATTATCAGAAAGCAGCTTTACAATCTCAAGAAGATTTCTGATATCTGCCCAAAAAAAAGAATTTCTGCAACAGAAAGAAAGTCTATTTGCATAGAAAAAGGATTTGCTTTATATTTTTAAAGCTTTAGATTTGAGCTTTAAGGTTAAGTACGGTAGTACGGTGAGACTCTACTCAAGATTGTGGAATCATTGGTGTCATCATTTATTTGTGACTCTGTGAATACGTCGTTTTTATTTTATTTTTCTCCTTTTTACATATATATATTGTTAACTTTTTTTTTTTTTCTCTATGGACCTTTTTGTGTCTGGAATAAAGATTGATTGATTGATTGATTGATTGATTGATTGTTAATTTGCTTAATTTTTTTTGTTTTTTGAGTTTTTTTGGGGGTTTTTTTTTAGTTTTTACGGCACTAGTGGCTCGTTTTTACGATAGTAGGCTGACAGGAGAGGGGTTATTCTTTTTGTTTATTTATTATTAGGATCCCCATTAGCTGAGCTTTACACCCAGCTACTCTTCCTGAGGTCCACATCATTAAATGACAGTATACAATGCAAATTCATAAACATGTTTGACAGATGACAAATATCATATAAATATCAATAAGACTGAACATTCATAGAAAAGGGGAAAGTTGCAATTTAAAATTTTATGAGGTTACAATAAATTAGAATATGAAACTATTTCATTTATAGATAAGTTGCTCCTAAAAACTTCTTAAGTTGCATTTTAAAAGCAAATTTATGTACAATTTTAATGAGAATTAATGGCATTGAGTTCCATTCTTTCATTGCTCTGTAAGTAAAGGTGCATTTGAGAAAATTAGTTTTCACCCTAGAAATTACAAATCGTCCTTCAGCTGCATGTCTCGTGGCATTACCATGAGAGTCCAAATTATTCTTAAATTGAACAAACAGAAACAGTGGACTCTGGAGTTTTAAGATTTTCCACATTGAGAATAATAGCGAAGCTAGAGCCGTGTCATGAACCTTTAGCCAGCTTAGATTTGAATGCATGGTATTTATACTGGTCCTGTAAGAACAATTTAATGCACCACGGGCAGCTTTATTCATTATTAAATGTTTTCTTTTTGCATTTGACCATATTGTTTGACAGTAGTCAAGTTGAGAAATTATTAATGTTCTTACTCTAAGTTTAGTCAAATCGTCCGGCAAAAATTTGCTACATCTTCTCAATATAGCTAAAGCTCTGCCCATGTTCTTTACAACAGCTTCAGTGTGTCTTTACCAAGACACCAAGTTATGAGAGAGTGGGAGCATGGATGAAGATCGACTCAAACCCGTGTCGGCCCGCGTCGAGGACTAAGGCATACATACATACCCGTACATGGGTCGTGCGCGCTAACCACTGCTAACGTAATCTGCTTCTTATAATCACAGCTTATTTAAATCATGGATGAAGATCAATTGTAAACATTTCATTAGAACGTAGGAAGATTTGAAGTAAAGTAGAACCTTGGATGGTTTATGCTTTGATGGTGTAGAGCACAATATCATCTGCAAAGAAACAGATATAATGAGCAATCTAAGGGTTAAATAATGATCCCTGAGGAATACCTGCAGGTTTTTAAGGTTTATTTACAAAGAAATATGCCCCACTTTCCAGCAGAACCCACTGGATCAACAAAGAAGAGAGTTTATTTGCATAGAAAAAGCATTTGCTTTGTATTTTTAAAGCTTTAGATTTTAGCTTTGAGCTAATCTGCTTAATTTTTTTGTTTTGTTATTGAGTTTTTTTTTATTTTTGAGTTTTTACGGCACTAGTGGCTCGTTTTTTTTCGACAGTAGGCTAACAGGAAAGGGGGTATGAGAGAGGGGGAGCATGGATGAAGATCGACTCAAACCCGTGTCTGCCATGTCGAGGACTAAGGCATACATACATATCCGTACATGGGTCATGCGCGCTAACCACTGCGCCACCTGCACGCCCTTAATCTGCTTCTTACAATCACAGCTTACTTAAATCATGGATGAAGATCAATTGTAAACATTTCATTAAAACGTAGGAAGACGTGAAGTAAAGTAAAACCTTGGATGGTTTATGCTTTGATGGTGTAGAGCACAATATCATCTGCAAAGAAACAGATATAATGAGCAATCTAAGGGTTAAATAATGATCCCTGAGGAATATCTGCAAGTATTTAAGGTTTATTTACAAAGAAATATGCCCCACATTCCAGCAGAACCCACCCAAATAACAACGTTAAAACCACTTTAAACCTTAACACTTATGTATTTTTCTGTTCTACGTTGTTCCTCAGGTGGGGTGGTGTGGCGGATCAGGGCGTCTGACACCAGGCTGGTGTGCGCTGCAGGAAGCAGGAACGGCACCGAGGAGACCAAGCTGCTGGTGTTGGACTTTGACCTGGAAGACAGGAAGAAGGACACGGATTTAAAATGAGAGAGAAAAGGAAGTGGGCGTTATTTTTTAACAGCCACGCTACGGACACAAAGCGCATTTCTTTTGTTGTTGTTGACCAAAGTCCCGACTGAACCGATCAGTCACCTGTGAATGTTACAACATGAGCTGATTGGCCGACAGAGACAGACGGACGAAAAAAACCTGCTGCTGTTTTGATGAATCAAAAAGTGACTCAAACCATTTGTGATGCTCAGAATAATGGATGTAATATATGAATGTTTGACAGATTTATTTCAGAGAGAAAGCTCGAAGTTTTGAATGTAGCCATTTGAAGAGAAGCTACGAGGGCATTCAGACGAGGGCGTTGGCTCCTTTTCTTTTGCTGCTGTACCAATGAGCTGATGATGCCGTTCAAACTAACCAAACCGAAAAACTCAAGCGATGGAGGAGAGCGATTTTTTTTTTTTTTTTCCCCACTCATATTTAGTCAGTGTTGGTTTCAAAGTGGTGTTATTTCAGGTTGCTTTCTGCCGCTGTCTGTACTCAGCCTGTTCTGGTTCAGCCCTCTTCAGAACTGTTACATGTTCAGAAAACAAGCTGCTGTTTGTTCCAATCATGCAAAGTGGGATAACTAACCCCCGAAAAAAACACAACCAGAGCCTCACATCTGCAACAGCTGGATCACTTAAAACATTTGTCAGAAATAATGCAGTGAAATGACTTTGAGCTGCAGCAGTTTGGCAGGTCTGGCTAATCCCTCAGCTGCTAAAAATAGAAGGAAAGAATGAAAACAGAACTTCTAGTAAAGGATGATTTTACCTGATGAGTAGTGTAAAGCAGTTATTTATTACAGACCTTAATTTTGCTGGGTTATTGCACACTTCATCTTTTTCCTATCTTCCAAACTATGTCAGTCAGTCATAACTTTTTTTGATGATAAATCTGGAAAAAAATATAAAAATTAAGATAGGTACAAGTCCGATTAAAGTTTAGGAAGTTTTTTTTTTTAAATGTTCTACAAAATAAACTAAAATAAAATTAATAAAAAAATCACAAAATGATTTAAAAGGAGCGTTTAAGGAGTGAGAATCCATCCATCTTTAGAGCTCCATAACTCAGCCATACTTAATAGAGACACCATTAGGATCAATACGTCTCTAATCGTCTAAATTAGCCTTTTTTCATAACTTCTATGGTTCTTAAGCAGTTGCACTTTAACTCCAACGTTTTTATGTCTTAAACCTTTAATCTGTGAAATAACTCAAAACAATACTTTTATCTTCACATGTAGGACTTAGTTTTCTGTCAAATCACCTCCTGGTGCTGATTTTACAAGCCTTAAGTTTTCTGTTTCTAATGCTTATTTACCTGACTGCAAAAGGTGCTTCTTTTTTTTTTTTATTTTTTTTTTTTTTTTACAATTGGTACAATTGAAAACAGGTTCTAGATTGTCATTCTTACAAAAAAATTTTAATAATAATTTATTATTTAGAGTATTTATTATTACATTTATTAAACTTTCTCACTGAGAAGCCGCAGCACATGTGCAATATGGATTAAATCAGTAGAAATGACTTCCCAAACTCATAAAATCAAGACTAACAACCAGTTTTAAGACCCACAGAGGACTATTATGTGAACAATATCTTCCAACTAGTGGTGAATGGGGGAATTACACATTAATAAAATCATATAAATCATAGCAACTGTTAATGCCAATGTAGAACTCTAGCTCCTCCTCTTGCCTGTTGCTCCCCAAAAAGGCATTTATCAGCTTAGTAATTAGATATTACATTATTGCTTCATTTTTTTTTTCTCAACATTTTTTAAGTAACAGTTGAGTTTGGGCAAAAGTACACTTGGAAAAATTATATATTTACCTTCAAAAAAGTTTTGCTTTTTCAAATGTTTGACTTTAGAGTATGTATGTATATATATATATATATAGGCCTATATCCATAAATAGAGATTCTTTAAATGTTACAGAATAAAGGATAAAGGCCGGCCATTTTTTATCTCCCTTTTGAGGATAGGGAAAAATAAAATCATAATTGAATTTGAAAAAAAATTGCATTGTTGTACCACAAAAATCCCCTGCAGCAGCAAACCTTCGAATTGCTGCTGATTTATTTTATTCAGCCTGATAAGCTTGTTGTTAAATATAACAAACAAAGAGGCAGGATAGTGGTACATCTTATGAAAACAGATGGCATTTATCACCTTGTGCCTTTTTTTTTTCTTTCCCTTTTTGTAGCCAAACCCACATTCCTTACTGGATAGAAAGGAAGAAAAAAACAAAATACACAGCAGTAAATTTTCAACTACTTCTTCAGTTAAATATTTATCAAATTTTTACAGTTTTACCCCAAAATGGTTACTTAGAAATAGGACATTGGGTTACATATTTTGCACAACCATTTGTACCTTTTTTCTGTCTTAATAGTTCTTGCTTAATGTTCTAAACATTACCAATATTTTTATCCGGTTATTAAAGCATTGAACAGCAGATGTAATGCACGACACTGTTTTCAGTAGAAATACAAACATTTAGCAGCAGAGAGGCAGATTATCTTTCCTAATGCTCTGCTTTCATATCTGCCGCTTCATGTTTATGGAACTTCAGATAAATTACATTTACTTTTCTTCTTTAGAAGCAAAAGTTAACTAAATTGTGTTATATGCAAGACTAACAAAATTAATCTTTTTATTCCCAAAACCACACTTTGGAACGGAATGTAATCACCCATGCATTCAGGGAGCTTGGTTTATTTATTTGTTGTTTTGTAATTCTGCATTAATGATGTCCTTTTTGTGTATTTATTTATGTTTGCACTGCTAAGACCTAATTAGATCTGTCTATATGTTTATCCCTAGATTATAAACTAAATCCCAGTAAACCAGATTTAACTTTAATCTAATGAACCCAAGAGAACACTTTATACATTTAGCATCACCTCAGCCTGAATTGGTTTAAAATGCAAATATATTTCCTGACAGTGGTTCAATGATTTATATGCAGGCTTCTAAATAAATACATGTGGCTTCAGTTTTTAGACTTTGCCACTTTATTTCTATTTTTTCATTTACAGGAAGCATACAGAGAGAAAAACTGATTCTGAAAAACTAAATATTTCTAACATGGGTACTTTAGGTCTCATGGTTAATTTCAGTTTTCAGTTTTATGGTGTAAAATACTCTTCTTTCTGTAATTATCATGTTTCCCCTCGGCTATTGAAACACATAAAAAAAGGATAAATAATTGAAACCGGTTGCTTGCTGCAGACGTTAATTCAATAAGCCGGTGTTGCCAGGCAACTCTTCCAGCCAGTGAGCAGAGTTTGGACTGTATCTTCCCCCAGCAACAAGTGGTATTTCAGGCAGGAGGGTTGACCTTTTGCAGGTGTGAGGCTCTCTGACGAACATAATCTGTGAAATAGTGTACATAAAGAGAGGATGTACATAGTGAACTTTTTTATAATGGAGAAAAAAAAGAGAAAATATTGTCCTGGTTGAATGAAATAAAAAGTACTGGATGAATGAATATGGATCAATAAACATGAGTTTTCTAAAACAGACTGCTGCTCTTTACTATGCTTATATACTCTCATACAGTAGATCTTATTACACAAATATATAAGTCCAGCCTGTGTGATTAATAATATTTCAGTTTTTACTTTTCATCCAATTATATTATCTACAAATTAAGATCCTATTACAAGCTGTCTAATTCCATTACAGAAGAAAACAGTGAAATTTAGTTAATCAAATGGCAATTAGTAAAAGTCCAATTATATAATGAAGTCCAACTGACAGCATGAGGCAACAGTAGAGAGGAAGTATTCCCTTTAGACAAGAAGAACCCTCCAGCAGAACTTGATTCAGTCTCATTGGACATTTTTAGCAACTAGCTACAACTTAAAAGCCTAATAAATAGACACGGAAAGAAAAAAAAAATTACATTCACTATAGCAGTTTCTATGGGGCTAACAGAGTTAAAGGCACCAATAGCTGGTAGCTTTAAACACAAATTCTTTTCACCCAAGTAGTTTTTCAGTCTTTATAATTCAAATATTTCAAACTTTCAAGGTAAATAATTGATAAAAAGACACACTGCAAAAACAATCTAGAAATGAGGAAAAAAAAGTCTTAAATTAATTACATTAACTCTTAATTTGAGCAGGAAAATAAGATGATTTGCCAATGGAATTTGTATTTTTACTCTTAAAATTAGATAATTAGATCATATGCACTTGAAATAAGACAATGTAATCGTTTTTTCTTATTTTAAATGTAAATTGTCTTGTTCCACTGACAAAGTGTTACACTTACCACATTAATTCAAGAAAAAATGCACTTATAAAAAAAAAAAATGACTCATTGAGATTCAAATTTTTTGCAGTGCAAAGAAAATGACTTTTCTTCATTTTGAACATCTGTGACTGAAAGGATCTGGGCTCATAAATGTAACAGCAGGGATGGTGGAAGCAGACTTTGTGGCTTTGGGCCCCCATCAAGCACAATGAGCCCCAAAAAGAACTTAAATCACACAGAACAGGCTAATTAGAGGTTGTAAATAAAGTTATTTCTCCACGGATGCTTATGAAGACAAGATGAAACTGCCCTTTCCTCTAAATCTACAGCTGGTGGCAGCTTTAGAAAGCAATTACTTCATTTTTATTCCCTGTTATTTCTTCCCATTATTCCTTTCTCATTATTTTTCTTAAAATTTAATGCTTGACAAGAACACATTTTGACACATTTCTTATATGAAGGGAAATTTGTAAGACAATAATGCATCCAGCTGCTTAGACTCCCTCTTTTATGAAAATATAATGAATAACTTAATGTTATTAAAGAGACCTTTTATTAAAGTAAGTGCATTAGGAAACATGTCATATTGATGAATTACACATATACCAATGTTTTCAATTTGCTTTTCTTTGTTATATTTTACAGAGAATAGAAAACATGACACTTAAGTTCAGTATATTACATAAGACCAATGAAACAGCTAAAGAGCAGAATTTAAAACTGCAAATGTAAAGACACCATAAAAAAAGCAGATAGGTGGCTCTGTAGTTGGCGGGCCTGCTGGAAATTCTTGAGCCAATGCTGCTTGTTTTATAAACTGCAAAGTGGTCCTGCATCAAAATGACCACTTGCATTCAGGAGACTATACATGTTTGACTCTATTTGTCTTTTACAAACAACACTGTTCCTTGAGAATCTCTCATTTTACCTGGATTTATTTTATATAAAGATGCATAATATAGTTAGAGGGAAATTTTGGCAGCTTAGTAAGGACACTTAAGAAAAATCAGAAGTGCATCAGTAGTCACCATGATAGTGAAGTGCTGGTACTGTAATAAGGAAGGAGTTTGGAAGAGAAGAATGATCCTATCTATTGATTGTTTGTTTAGCATAGTGACTTACCGACTGTCATATCCACTATATTGCTTAAATATGAAGAAAAAAAAGACTTATCTCAATTTGTTGTGCTTTTTTGCATTATATAATTATGAATCTTTTTATCAGGAGCTGTATTGTTTTTCTGCAATCTTTTATGTAACAGGATTGTGAGGGACTGAGGTAAGAAGCCTGAGGAGTCACAGGGATAAATTCAAAAATATGGTTTTTAAG